TTTCTGTACATGGGGCTCTCGTAAACGATAAGAGATAGAGTGTCGGTTAAATTATGGCAAAGTTGCATATTTTAGACACCTATTCAATGATGTGAAGAGCTCTTTTGGTTCTGGAGATATACAGGAAAAACCAAAAAATCCCAAATTATTTTTTTGTCTATATCTTCTTTATTCGCAGACATATTGAAAATCTGTCCACATTTTACTATTGGCACTTGATGTGGGCTAGCAGAATATGTCCATGAATTTTTTAATACAGAGTGTCATCTGACTTGGGCCACCCCTATCTTTGAATTTTTAAAAACGGACCTGTAGTTTTTGTTGTAGTTTTTGGATCGTAGACGTTCACTTCATACTGAAAAATTAAATTCAATTTTATATTTCGGGATGTTTCGGTAATATTCAATTATAATTGTGTGAATTCTCCCTTTTAAATTACGGCCCTGGAAATTGGTTGACTGAGTTGAATAACAACATAATAGCAACTTTCACGTCTCCCTATGTATCATAGAGTTTTTCGAGAGTTTTTTTTTCATTTTTAGGTACCTATTCATATTTTTCCATTGCTCTGAGCGTTTTCTACAATGAACTTCGAGTAAGAAAACCTTTTATGATTATTTGAAATATATATGTTTTTATATAGGTATACAAAGTGAAAATTGATCAATTTAAATGCTCTTTGTTTTTACATAAAAACTGTATTGAAGATTAAGTGAAACTCTGTCCACAAGTTTACTCTTATGACAATAAAGTATATATTCTCTCTCCCTCTGTCTCTCTCTCCCTCTCTCTCTCTCTCACTCTCAATCCTCGAAGCAGTTCTAATATGCAGTTTTTGGTATGTCCTTGAGCTTTTAGCGAATCGGTTTTTATCTCCTCAATCATCGCAAAACGCCGCCCTTTCGTGTGTCTCTTCAATCTTGGAAACAGGAAAATGTCGCAGGGGGGCAAATCTGGTGAATACGGTGGCTGATGCATGATTACGGTGTTGATTTTGACCAAAAAATCACAAACAAGCAGGTAGATTATCGTGATGCAAAAGTCATTAATTGTTTTTCCACTATACCAAAAGTTTTCTTTGTACTGCTTCTCGTAAGCGATGCGTAACTTCAAGATAATACTCTCCTTATTGACCGTACGACCTGATGCGACACAGGTGATGGAGAAACGTCAAAATTCAGCAAGGTTCTGAGATTCAGAAGCAAAGGATCAATCGGCTTCCGTTTGAAATTGATTTGGGAACCGTCCTGTATGTAGTCCGAATGCATAATGGCAGTTTTTACCAGGCGACCCCGTTCAGTTGATTTTCGTACAGGTACTAACTATAAAATTCGTTCCACCGTTGATAATAGCCCCGGATGGTTTTTCTCGACTTCTAATTTCAATAATCTCACAAAGAAGGCATAAAATATCCTAATTGCGCCGACTTGTAAATGAGTTGAAAATAGCAGGTATGAGCACCGATGCTTTCAAAACAGTTTTTTGCTGTTTTCGGAAAATAACTCTCGGAATGTATAAGTAGCTATCATACCTCAGTGGCGGAGGGTCTGAATTGAATATTGGGGAATTGATTGTTTCAATCTATTTTCCCAAATTTCAAAATAGTATTCAAATTCTTTTAAACGAGTATTTTTCTCGAACACCAGATCTGCAATACCCCTCTCGACGCGCAGTTCATCAAAATAGTTGATTTCTTCAGGAAATGAAGAAAACTGATTACTTTTGAAGAAATTGCACTTTTGGTATTTGGGAAAAGTGCTCGTTTTGGATTTATTCCACGACAGAAGGTCCAATTTCACCTAAACATGCTCAATAGAATTCGAATCCGGGAAGCGTGCTTGATCGTTGCATATGACGAATACGTAGAAATAATGCAATGTTTTATTCAAGAATTCATAGGAACGTAATTTTGTTTTCCCTCGTATAACGTGTATTAATCGGGCCTCATTAGGATATCTGTTCGATATGAATGAATCTAGGATAAAGATCCCTTCATATATGAAAAAACTTTGAAATCGGGCTGAAAATTAAAAAAATATTCGAAATTGAAACTTGTAAAAAACATTTCAAGCTGGCCATTTTTGTGCACATGGATGTATCAAGTAATCTATCACCCTATACACCATTGTCTTATCAGAAAAAGGCGATGTTATTTCCTTTTACGAAGACGCTAAATGGAGGTTTCAAATGAGTAGAAGTTTCTTATGATTAGGCATAATGACAGTAAGTAAGAATCACTAAAACGATGTATTTATTTAATGAAACCCTATCATTAGCTTACAAAACATGTAACTACAGAATATGGCAAGCCGCCATTATATCTTGAACGCCAATCAGATCAAATTACGTCACGTTAGAGAAAACAAACGAATATGACATCTAGATATTGTTTACTGTGACTGTTTTTTTTTGTTGTTGTGTTGAATCAAAAATGACATAAAATTAGCCATGAAACCAGGATTAACAAAGGCAAACAAAATGGAATCTAGCACCTAGCATCAAACAAAGACAGCCTTAGGAAATGTTGAAACTTTCATGTACGTACAATGATAATATTTCAAAAATGATAAGTCTGATGCCTTTAAAGATACTTAAAATTTAAGATTAGAGGTTTTCTTATTGAAATGATATTTCTATAACAACACACACACATTGATTTATTTATTTCAGGTCCTCCAGAGCATCTTATGGCGATGATGCTTACAGTTGAAACGCGAAGAACTAAGAAACCTAACCTCAAAATAGTTAGTTTTTTTTTATTGAATTTCGTCCTCGACCAAGATAATACCGGTTCATAATCTACAACAATTCCAGGTAAATCCTCAAAGTGATCTTCAAAAGATAAAGCTGAGTACTGGGCAATATTTCCGTGGAATTTCGTCTTGACAGTTTGAGCCACTCATTTCGTGTTGTTTTTTTATACGGGACCAACAAAAATAACTTGTTCGGAGTTTCTATTGATGTATCAGTACACTGAAGGTCTGCACAAGACCGATACACTTTTGAGTTCATATTCACTGATAATTATAATCGAATTAACGAAAGAGTTTCTAGTGTTTACATGTAGTCTACTCGAACGTGACGTCACAAGCGACGCCATCGCACTTTTGGTACGAATTTCAAACCCATGAATCAAAAGTTTATTCATTTTATACTAAACTTTTATTTTATGCGGAAATGTGATATACGTTGTAATTATTATAATATATTTCCCAACATTACAAAACAGTATTTCAAAATCTGTCATCAAGCCTATTGCCATGAAAATGTATCTGTTTTTCGATATATCTCTCGATGTACCTACAGTTAAATCTGGTGGCATAGATCTCTACCAAAATGGGGAGTCCATCCTCAATCCCTCCCCTCACGTACGCCCATGTACGCGGCGGCGTTTCTTCTATACGGAGTTAATCGCCTTGGTGATATTAGTAGGCTAGGGCGGTCTGTAAAACAAGTGAAGGTGCGAGCGGCGCCTCGGATAATTACAAGGCACAGCCACCTTCGATATGATGAATTAGTTGGTGTTGCTGCCTCTCATCTTGATCCAGCATGCGAAACGCTGCTGCTTCTTCTTCTTCTACTCCGGTATCACGATGCTATTACGGAAAACACCTCTTAAACTTGATAATTCAGTACGTAAAAATGCCGACGGGGTTTGGGTTGTCTTTTTTGAAGTAGAAGTGGAAAAGAGACTCGTTGTTTTTTGAGGAAAATGGGAAAAATTATTAACAGCGTGAAAATGGTTGTGTGGGAAATAAAATAGTGTGCTCGTTATGAGAAAAATGTATTGAAGTTGATCTAAGGTGCGGGAGATGACATGGGATGAACTATGGGGGTAGAAAATAGTTTTTCATGATTTACACTGAAATTGGACCTCTTTTTAGAAAAATTTGAATCTAAAAATTGTAGGAAAATAAAGATGTACAACTTTTGGATAAAACATTTTACCAAATGACCTGAAATTTTGCGAGAAAAATTGGGAAACACGGTAATTTCGTGGTTCAATTTTTATTCTACGGAAAACATTTGTTTTTCACGTTATTACGTAAAAATTTATCTTGCTGAATTCTGTATATACTATGAGTATTTTTCATATTTGATGTTCAACTTGAAAAAAATATCTCATTTTCAGCCTGAAATAGTCACGTGATAAAAACAGTTTTCTCAAAATCAACAGTGACAGTGGTGAAAGAAAGGTAATATAACAATAAAAAAATTGCCATAAAAAGCGAGTAATTGGAGAAACGTGATTTGATATCAATTTGGAATTGATTGTTTGATATTTTTACAAAAATTTCATTTGGATTCTTTGGTAAAAATTGCCATTATGCATTCGGACTATATACAGGAGGGTTTCCTAAATTAATTTCAAAGAGAAGCCGATTGATGCTTTGCTTCTGCAATATGAGATTTAGAAAAAAAAAATATGAGC